GCGCCGGAAAGAACCTGAAACATACAAAATGCAAACCCCAATTGATAATTTTGTTTTTCAATCAAGAGGCACCAACAAGTCTAGATTGGGCAGAGACCAAAGTGTTTTGCAAAATTGCAAGTCATCTTGCTAACTGACTGTCCGAATAATTCTCAGAACAGCTGTAAAACTTGAAAGTGATTTTCCTATTTGCAATGTGAAGATCAAGTTGGAAATCTCTGACACTGAGTCAGACCTTTTGTATTATAATATTGCAACAAAAGGTGAGCTTCGATAGTCACTAAGATAAACCTGTTAAAAGTCATAATTTGTTTGCCCCAAAATATACAAACAGTTTGTACAGTTTATGTATTTTTTAATAATTTCTTTCTTAATTCTGAACCATTAATTACCCATTGACTACATCAATATATTTTTAAAAATATGGAAGAAATTATATGAGTTTACTTTCTGAAAGGTGACAATAGTTGACTTTGGTGCTTGAAAGGTTATCGCAAAAGTTCAACAGCAATCTATAACATATAGAGTAAAATTTGTAGAGCCTTCAATGAATTAAACAATGACCACCCTTCCCATAGACCTGTCTAGACACTTAGAAACTTGCTGCATAATATCACAATATCACTAACAAAACTAATTGGTCTCATCTCAGGATGTATCATTTGCACACTACCTGTTTTAAACATATGTGTTACATAGAGAAGTAGATGAGAAAGTTGAGTGGCCAGAAAGTCATACGGCTGTTCAGATGGTGATGGGTTACAACACCTCCTACTCAACTCTGTCACCATCAAACCAATCACTTGCAGTAAAAACCTGGCAGAAAATGAAAATTTTGTAATAGCATCTACACCAAGTGTATTTAGTTTATTAGAGGTGCATATCAAATTAGTAGCACATAAAAATTAAAAATTGAATTTGTATATTGTGTACTGAATCGTTGAAATATTATTTATTTTGACCACACAAACACTAAAATTTACGTCAACACATGTGCAATTAGCAGAGTAATACAGTATATGGTTATAATTTAATATGACAGCCATGTAGTTTTCTTTATTTCATTGACTTGATTTTAAAGTGCCACACTTTTTACATATCATAATGTCCCATGTGAAATTTGTGAAAAAATTTGGTGCTCCAAATATGTTCTTTTACAATAAAATCATTTGTTGACATTAACGCTGCTTGAACATGTTGCTCTGCAGGGTAACACAGCTCAAAAAGAAAATGGTTTTCACATCTTCAGTCGTAAAGATTATACATACCCTCGAAAAGCTGAGCATTTGCACAATACAACCCCAGACAGCAAATGCTATATCCAGTCTACATACTGTACTATTGCACTAACTAATAACACTACTTATTAATTTACTTTATTAGAATATGACTAATGATTATTATTGTTTTCAATCAGCTATGCATTTGTACATTGTTTATAAATTTCCAATATGTATGCTTATTATATTGCACCCCTTCACATACCCACCTTGCAAATATTTCCTCAGGTGTCTCAGGTGCATATGCCGCATTCTCAGGTAACCCAGACGCGCTGCTGGGTCTAGATCTCCTCCCAGCATTCCTTGCAGCACAGGTATGGGTGTATGTAAAGATATTGACCTGCAGATTGAGTTCTTGAAGTCGAGTAAGAATGACTTCCTCTTTGGATTGCGATATGATGACTCTGAGAACGGCTAACACTAGTGATAACCAGCGCTGTAGGTTGAATAATGAACTCTGGAGAGAGAAAAGAAATGAAACAGTATAATGTCCATCTACATCTACATCTTGTCTGATCCTTAACTTTTTCACACCAGTTCGCTTTTTTCATCACAAATTCACAAAATAGTCCCGTTTATAGTCTGCACTTTCCTTCAGAAGATTGAACAAAAATAGCCAAATGTTTTGAGTAAAAACTGAAAATTGACTCAAATTTTGTCTGTTGGCTCCAAAATTAGGGTTCATTTACAGAAATATTGAATAATCTTAAAAAAAGTGAAGAAAAATTTCCCTAGTCATTCACATGGTACATGTTTATCCAGAAACAATGCATCTCACACACACTACATACACATTGAGTTGGAATCAAATGAATGCCATGACAACTGACACAAACTGCATTGAGTTTTATATGAATTCCATGGACCACATATGTGACTTGTATTGTTTGTTCATACAAAATGTGAATGCTAACCGAGCAACTGTGACACCTTAAACAATAGTTTAAAACTTTCTTAGAAATGTTGTTTTCATCACAGTGAATTAAGTGAATAAATATCGTAGGGTTGTTTGTGAAGAAAAATTCAAAGTTGACACAAAATGACTAATAAATTGAATAATGTTAATGGTTTGACACTAGAAAGACAGATGAGTTTTCTTACCACATCGTATGGCTGCATAAATAAGGTCTTTAGTAGCATATCAACTGGTCTTAACGCACTGGACGCTACTGATTCTAATAATCTATGCAAGGTATCCAATCCTTGCTGATTATCAAGGTTAACCTGAAATTATTTGATAATGTAGAATATAATTTGTTAAAATTACATCAATGTATGAATGTGATAGAAATGATGTAAATGTATTTCTTATTAAGTACTGTAAAATATGATAAATATTAATTGCCACATGTTTGCAAAGACAATATTTTCGAAAGAAATTAAATTATTCCCATGTATTTGAAGCAGTTAACAGTATTAAGAAGATAACAGAGGTAGAATCTGCAACACTTAACTAAAATGAATCTATTGTACATCATTTTTGTGAAAAATGTATTCAATATTTCAAAAAGTTCCATTAAGCAGCGCCCTCTAGTGGCAGTACTGCTGTGAGGTAGATGGGTGAAAGGAAGACTGTTTACAGTATAGCACTGTATTGTACAAGTCATCTTTTATTAAAAATTATATAAATTATTATCAACTACACATTTGGTATTCCATGTAATATGTTATATATTGATAGTTAGACAACTGGTTATTTTATTCATATTGAAGAAAAAACGGTGTATCAATTCTTTGTGTAAATACCTGTTGTTTTGCAAGTCGAGGCAAGACCATGTCGATAACCTGCCTGGACAGACGCTTCCATTTGTCTTCGCTTTCTTTGTGATGTTGTTGGAGAACAATAATAAATAAGTCCAGTACCTACAAACAAACAGACATAGGATACAAAACATAAACTTTTATATAGTCAAATATACACACATATCAAAAAGAATTAAGAAACTGTTCAGTTTACAAATAAACAAAATCTTTTTTTTTTTTTTGATCCACAATGTCTGTATATATTTGAAGATCAAAAAACTTGTATTTAATTTAAATTAATGAATTATGAAACTGAGCTTATGTCATAATTTACTGAACTATAAAAACAACAATAATCACCTCATGGAACTGTATAAGACGTATCAACATCGACACCACTACCTCTCGCTGTGTGTCCAACTCTTTACCCGAATCAGCTTTATGAGAACCTCTCAACACGAATAAATCATGGACAATCGGCCTTAACGCAGGAATAGCTGAATAGAAAATAAGCAAAATCAGTCAAAACCAGTGATTACAACAAGCACTTTAAATATGGGATGTACTGGTGACACAACCCTATAGGCACTGTACACTTTGGGGGAGCCTATATTTCTAGCTCTACGAAGAGTATATATAAAGTATGCTAATGACCTAATTAATATGCATGAACATGATTTTGACATTACATTACTTCCCCTTCATTCACTTACCATGTGTTGAAGCTTGCTGACCACTTGCCATTATACCATCACATAGCTGAATTATCTTTGGCATTCCAATAATGGCTTTAGTATGGTATCTCTCATATGACAGAAGAACCAAAAAATGGAAAATATGGGGTATCAAATTCTCAGAATCCCTAGTTTAGTGACAAAAAAGAGTGATTAGTGTAGTGATTAGGTTAGATGGCAGTTGTAGACATTTTCATTTTTGCATTTTAAAATGTTGTATCTTGAAGGTTTTGTAATCAATTGGACTTACTTTATCTGCCCCTCTTCAATAAATTCAAACTGCTTGATGACAAAGCCAATAAATATCTACAGAAAATAGAAAGTCTACTATCAACACGATGTAACATTAGAGTCAAGGCTATGAAACCATATAAACAGTCTCCATATCAAATGTATGAAATATCTGTCTTCATCATGAGTATATTTTACTGCGGATGCGAAGCACATTGACAAAATTATTGTGATTGTGTATTATACGTAGAAAATTTGGATATTGGACAGATATGTACCGATATATGAAGTATGAACATATTATAAAACCATTTTAAAATCTAGCCAAAGAAAAAACACTGTTTGTCAGTTTTCCATGTTGAATGTGAGCCGCTTGGTCAAGTATGTGACACAAGTGAGCCAGTAATTCACCATGGCCAGCATTATACTCTTGGTGACATTTCGTGTACGGCATACTGAGATAGAATTTCTAAATACATATTTTCCATACAATGTACAGATGAAAACAGATATCCATTAAGGTATCATGAGAGATTGGGATAAGTTCCAAACAGGAACACATGTCATGGTGAAAAGTAACCACAGCTGAGGTGTTGGTGAAAAAAAGATAAGATCCAACAGAAATGATCAGAAGTAATCAAATGACCTCTGACCTGGTCTGAGTCCAGAAGACAATAATTCACCCTGAGCTGCACGAGTTGAGCCAATAAGTGAAGCACTTGTTGCTGTAAGGTCAACGAACTTGTGATGGTGTACTGCTTCAAAGCTTTGATCACGAGAGGTTCAAACAATCGTATGTAACTATGGATATGAACCTAAGAGAAGAGAAACAAGATACTATTAAACTTTGTGATATGTAAAAGTATGGGGTCAAAGATAAAAGCCATAAGACACAATTGGCAGTTAAGATCTAATTGAGTGAGAGAAGATTTATTTTTGCATCTCAAATGATGTTTCATTTTCTCTTGTCCACTTCTCCCAAAACATTTCTAACCACACTATTTAGGGGTTCGAAAAGAGACATGTAGCTCTCTCTCTCACTCACTGAGATCTTGATAGACATTTGCATCTACTGATCATTGAAGCAATACAATAACTGTAAAATGATTTAATTTGGTGAAAGACAAATTTTCAGAAGAAATTGCTAAGTTTGATTATCTAGACACATGGTAACTTTTGGAAAATAATCTCTACAAACACCATCAAATTATTAAATTCCTGACAGCAAAAAATTAACAATTCATAGTTCCCAAATAATCATAGTGCTGGGATTCAAATAAATATTCAAATCTACAAAACTGTCATAAAAACGTAAAATGTGATGAGAATAGAAACTCGTACAGTCTGAGACAGGTGAAAGATTTTTCAATTTCTCATTTCTGATTAAGTGATGTAGATATAGATATGATTTGTCATATTCTTGCCTGATAATTTGATCCCGAATCTCATGTTTTGTAGTCTATACATATACTCATTACAAACTATTCTTACCTTGTCTTTACTGCCTGGCTTAGAAATTGAACTTTTTCTTTCACCACTTTTTTTTCTCATCCAGCTGAACCAACTAGAGAAAACAAGAAGATTGTTGATAAAAAACAAGAATGTTTGCGAGTCAGAAAAGAATTGAGAAAAATTCTGGCAACGAACTATTGTGCAAAATTTACAAGATACAATATGTACAATTTTTTTTTTCTGAACCCATGTACTAATTATTATGCTAATTAGAAAGCCCACCTAGCATGGTTTATAATATTATTAGGCATGGTCAATATACACTCATTCTGAACTCTAATATTCTGTTTCAAAAGCCCACCTAGCATGGTATAAAATATTATTAGGCATGGTCAATATACTAGTACACTCACCCTGAACTCTTAAGTTCTGTTTCAAAAGCCCACCTAGCATGGTATAAAATATTATTAGGCATGGTCAATATACACTCACCCTGAACTCTCATGTTCTGTTTCAGCATGCGACGATGGCTTGAAAGAAGCAGCACTTAACGACTGTGTGAACTGTGTATACGGTGTAGCAATACAACTATGGTAGAGCCCAGGCTTCATGTTTGAAGTCAGCCGAGTTGCTTTGCCTGGCTTCCGAGATGCACTCTGACTTGTTGCATTCTCAGACTGGCTACCAAGATTAGTGGAAAACAGCGCTTTTAAAAGCTGCAGGAAATGCAAAGTACAAGTCAATTTACAGAATAACTATCAACAGTTTCTATACAGTGAATAAGATAGCCATTATGACATGGAGTTGTGTTGCCCTCTATCACAGTCAGATGGAAATCTTTTGTTTTTGTTTTGACAAAATTGAAATAGATGATTCAAATATAATTTTTGCTTATTACCTGTTGAACAGTGAGTATTGTGGCTGTAGGCTCTCTCTGTACGGTGGATTTCAAAAATCCAAGCAGCTCTTCAGAATACTGAAAAGAAGCAATAACAAAACAGAAACCTACAAGTTAGGAGAGTTTTGGATCAGAGTGCCAACCAATTGATGTAAACAACTTTGACATCATCTAACTTACCTTGCCTATTTCAGTAAAATTTGCAAACTCAAGCAGCTGAGTCAGGGCATCTAATGCAGTCTTCAGTAATGATCCAAACTTCTCTGTCCCGCCCAGATCAAGTGTTATCTGCAAAGTACATCAAAGTTTGTATCAATGTTTTGTATACTTTTTGTGCAAGTAGAATTTTATGCTACCTTTATACAATGTGTATACATGTCAAGCAAAAACAAATTGTTACTGATCATTTATTTTTCCAAAACTGATTTGAGAAATGACAACTGTTTTAGTGCATCTAACCATGGAAGTCATATGCCATGACTACATGAGCCAAATATAATGCTATTATAAAGCAAATAAGTGGCATGTATGTAAAGTTCAAAATAGAAAGCCAGGGATCAAAAGTAGCCCTTACTAGTTTTGTGCTACATACTGGAATTTGAGATAGTGAAGTATTATGGAAGTTACAGCCGTTCTGAGAATTATTCGGACAGTCAGTTAGCAAAATGACTTGCAACTTTGCAAAACACTTTGGTCTTTGCCCAATCTAGACTTGTCGGCGCCACTTGATTGACGGGCGCATGGTTTGCGATTACTATTTCATAGGGGTTGTCGGCTTGGTGAATTGTAAGTATTATCTAGCGTGCGTCCACAGCAACCATTCTTTATTTTTTATAATTATATT